TATACACGACCGATCATACGCTTTTAATACTGAAATCACGCATGGACATATAAACCATGATTAAGCTAAGACCAAATCCATGTTTATAAATATCTAAACAGTTTAATTAATCCCGGTAGAAACTGTTTCTTAATTTTTAAGTAAAGCCGCTAAGAACCAGTTTTTTAACTTCTGCTAAGAATTCCAATTTAAGAACCCAGGATTAATCATACTCTAACATAAACCAAACAAGATCCAAAACAAAACTAAGCTAAAACCAAATCCATGTTTATAAATATCTAAGCAATTTTTATATTTTGAAAACCGAAAAACTGAAACTGAATCAAAACCAAATTGATAACCGAATGATTTTTTTTTGTCACAACCGAATGAATATTTTAATATCCAAAATATAGTTTATATTTCTAAAAATATCGATTATATATATACATATTTTTAAAAAATTATATTTGTTATAAACCAAATGACCAAATACTTGAATTACCTGAATATCTTCATATCTCAAGTATTTAAATTTAATTGAATCACCCGATATTTTAATCCAAAAACTCTTTTTTATTTGAAGAAAATAAAACTTTGTCCTTGAATTATCTGAATTATTGAAAAATTGAAACTGATTCATAAACGAATTAGAACCAAAATTTTATTGGATATCAGCTAGTTGCAAATATTTTATTATTCCAATTTGACTAAAACTGAAATAAATGATCGAAACCAAACTGAATTTTATAAATAATCGAATATTTTCTATATTTCTAAAACCCAAAAAAGTAAAACTAGAGCTGAACACTTTGAAATACTTATAAACTCCAAAAGTCAAAATCTAAGTTCAAATGGATATTTAATTATTTATCCAAACCTACATTGAAGTAGTTTTTTTTCTTTTTGACAATAAAGTAATTTTTTGGGTAATTATGATATTACAAATTATGAAAATATCTATTATATAAAGTAGAGTTGCATCACTCCTTAGAGTGTCCACGTCGTCTGCTACGTCATTAAGTCCACGTGGCCACTCCAATTTCGTTTTTTTTATATAAAGTAGAGTTGCATCACTCCTTAGAGTTGCATCACTCCTTAGAGTGTCCACGTCGTATGCCACGTCATTAAGTCCACGTGGCCACTCCAATTTCGTTTTTGGGTCTGTGTTATTTTTGTTTCTGGGCCTAGATCGTTTTAGGCTCCAATGACTTAAATCTAAACCTAAAGTTCCTGCAAAGAAGAACGCAGTCTTCTATCATCTTTCGGTAAATTCTCCTCTCCTTGATCTTATTTTCTCTTTGTATCAATCGTTTTCTCTTTGTATCAATCAATTATTTTACACCGATCTGAAGGCCGGGAAGTGCTCCTTCGTGCTGGAGGCTCGACTCCTCCGGTTCTGGGAGGCCAGAAGTGTCAGGCGTTGTGCTGAAGTTTCTCGATCTGCTACTCATGGATGCGAATGTAAGTTTTATATTAGATTTTATTATTCTGGCGAATTTCTTTGTTTTATTGGTTCTTAAGTCTTTATTATTCTGGCGAATTTCTTTGTTTTATTGGTTCTTAAGTCTTGATTCTGTTCGTTTAAGAAAAAAGAACCAATTCATTTCTGACTATATATTGGTTGTTAGGTGTATGATTCTGAAACTTTTTTTTAAGGAACCGATTCATACATTACGTTATGCTTTGTTTTCTATTGTGCTTCTTATTCAAGTTTCCGTACCTTTGTGCATCAAAGTTTTGAATCCTATTGAGTCATCATCAATAACAGGTTCTGTGGAAGATGAGAGTAAGCATTCATTTGTCTTTCCCTCCGGATAAGGAATTTAATGTGGCTAGATTGAATCCCACAAACCAGAATGAGGTATGGGCTTCATCAGATGATTCTCACCTCACATCTTCCAACAACATTCCAAAACATTATTGTTTTATGAGCAGTCATTATAATTCCTATAAAAAGCTTGCACATCGAGGAAACATGATAAAGTCTCTATCTTTGATATCAGTTACATGTCTCCCAAACCAACTGAGTTATGCTTTGAAACATCTGATTTTGACATCCCATGGAATTAAATATACATTGTTTTTTTTGGTAACTATACCTGAGAGATCGGTCGCTGTATTTCTTTCTTAGGCATAGCAAAATTTAATTTCCAGTATGGTTTCAAGAAACTAGCGAATATAGCATGTATGCTTCCACCATCACGATTATAAATAAGCTAGGCAATTTTTTAATCGAAGTTACACATGGACATAGTTCATCAATTTTAAGTGTTAGTCTGTTCTACTTAGGCTACTTCTGCGAAAATTTATATGCTTCCACCCAAATTTCAGTGATTGTTCTAACTGTGTTTCAGGACTTGCTCCTCCACTGTCTATCCGATTCACGATAACACTTGCTCCTCCACTGTCTATCCGATTCACGATGAACTGCTTGGTCTAGCAAACACCAAAACTCATCTTCCAGGTAAATATTTTTGTGGCTTAAACTCATCATTAAAAGCCATTTTACTCTTTCAAATGTTCATCTTATGACATATATGATTGACTTTCTAACTGCTGTAGAAAGTCATGTAAGCGATCAAGGCAAAGACCGTGTCATGGCAACCAGATAGATAGGTTTCTATTACTTTCTTATATAGGCTTCTACACTTTTATAATTGATAACACCGCTTTCTTAGATAAACACATTGAGGATTTGGACCATATTTTGTCCTTTGTAGTGACGTGTCTATCACCTTGAGTGTGTTCGACTCTCAAGCTGTGCCGTTTCACAAACAACCTGAATGCTTGCCGGGTGCATCCACAAGCTGTTGTTCCAGCAAACATTAATCCCAGTTATGTGTTAGGTATTATTTCATACTATTGTGAAACCCAGTTATCTTTTACTTCTTACTTCTTCTTATGATTTAGTAAAAACTGATGTCCACCATGATGCTTTTGCAAAGAGTGGCGCTCCTTAAATCTCCACGGCGATTGTTTCTGAACGCCCCATCTGAGACTCATTTTTATTTTGACAAGAAAATGCTGGTGAGAGTTATTTTTAAAAGTAAGCATTTAAAATTTACTACTTGGTTACTTCAAGAAACGTACTCACTATTGCGGGATACTCACTATAACTACAGCTTGGTCACAAATGATACTGGGGTTAGCAAAGGTTTAGCCTACTATAATATCAGAGCTTAACCAGTTTATCATCGCTGCTCAGACTCGGGTACAGTTTCAAAATATATTATGTTTGGCTCTAGCAAATTCCGTAGCTCTGTTTCTGCTTGCAATAATTTATACCTGTAGTCCATTGAATTTATCTGCTGCAGTGGGAAGGTGACTGGTATGAAACCGGAAAAGGATGGTGGCACATCTCTTGCTCCAAGTGTCAAAGAACCTTCAATGATGTGTCTCATCATTGAAGTGGCCTGCAATAATGCTAACGATGTTTGGGTCCTCAGGTGCATAGCAAGTTTTAATCTTTTCTAAAAAAACAAGTGTAGTTTTTAACGAAGGTGTCTGTAGGTATGAGAAGTCAACAACTCTGGCAACAACTTCAACTAGTCTCATCAGAAAAACAACTCAGACCACAGCATCTACCAAGGTGAAGAGTATGCTGGTCACATTAATACCTATTTGAACAATGCTTAATGCATCATTATCGCCTTTTTCCCCTAACCTCTGTTATGTTTTCTTCAGACGATCTGATAAACTAAGTTCAAGTATGTTATCTATTGTTATTTTACTCTGAGTCATTCAACCACTTAGGTTCCGTACATTTACTCAGAAAATCATGTATTCCAAAAAATGTGTACCCATAAACACTGGAAAGAATTGTGCTCTAAAGAATTGTTTGAGCTTTTTTATTTACAGTTTTTACTTGAATAATGTTGGATTCAGTTATGAAATCCCTCCTTGATAGGTTTTATAGTCTTGATTCTATTGGTTCTCTCTTTAAATGTGACATTCGTTGTATGTCTTTCTGGTTTTTCCAAGTTAATAGGGTGATACCCTATGAGTGGTGGCTCTGCTCGATTAATAAAATGATTTTACTTTGGTTTTTTAATTTTTCTTGGTTTGTATGGGATCTTCTTCTTCTGTATTTATGCTCCCGATGGTTTGTAAAGATGCAGGGCTGTGTTCGTGGTTTTTCAATTGTTTGGTGGATGGTGCTCTTTGTGTGTTCTAGATGGTTCTTGGTTGTTTCTCTTGATTTAATATACTACTGTATAGTTCTGGTGTTTAGATTATTGAGGTCTTTTATTACTCGAGCTTTGTCATATGTATGGTCTGTTTCTTCTTCCTCCAGTCTTTTAAAAGAAATTATGATTATAGCTTCTACATTGGATGTTGGCTCACAGGTGTTTGGGTTCTATCGCCTGATTTTTCCAGCTCAGACGCTAAATTATTTAACAAATGTGGTTACTTTGATAAGGGTGGTTTTTCTAAAGACCTTAAAGATTATGGATTCTCTTTGGTTTGTCCAATTAACATGGATGTATATCGGGTTCAAGTTTCTCTTCTTGGATGAAATAACATGAGCTTTTATTGATGTGTTCACCTTTTTAATAAAAACCTTTTTTCTGAAGGTTACTAATGTGTTCGTATATTATGGTATATGGTTCTCTTTGTATAATCTGTTGGTTCCGGTACTCAATTTATGTTGGATCGATCAGAGCCTTGGGGGTGTTTTATATACTCGATGGAGTGCTACTTCTTCATTAGGTGGTTATCATTGTCCTTTTATTTTTATTGGCTGTTTTAATTTAAAACAAATAATAAAAAAGAAAAATAAATTTGGATAGTTAGTATATCATGAGTATCTTAAGTTGGAATTGCAGAGGGGTTGGTAATTCGGACACAGTTCAAAGAATTAGGGATTTCCGGCGTCAGTTTTTCCCGGATTTTTTATTTCTCATGGAGACCAAACAGAAATTAGCTTATATGGAAGCTTTAAAATTAAGTCTTGGGTATGATTTCCTACATACGGTTGAACCTGTTGGTCGTAGTGGTGGTTTATCCCTAATGTGGAAAGGATGTTACGTAGTGGAAATTTTATATAGTGATAATCGAATTATTGATCTGAAAATCACTATGGGTTCTTTGGTTTTTTTC